TGGAAGATTTCGAATTATGCTCTAAAAGACAATACTACGAAACCACAGCTATAACTATAACTATAGCTTTAGTATCACACAATATTTACTCGTCATTTACTAGATCGTTCTGATAATATTTTTTAAAATAACAACTATCATGGTATTTGTCGTCTTATGCTAGAGTTGTAAAATTACATAATAATAATATTGATAATAATTAAAAAAATTATACTTTGAAATATCGTTGTTTCTTTTGTTAGAACCAGTTTATAGCTCTCTTTGTTCTTTCCGGACAAGAGTGGTATTAATTTCTTGTGATTTTATTTTTCTAACAATGGAAATAATTATCTAAATAGCATAATATTTTCTTCAGTTTCTAATTCTCTATTATGTTCCTTTATTTCTTCCTACAAAACGTCCTACAACTAATCACTGTAAACCATAACTTTTAATATAAAATGTGTAACTTATACTTACAACTTGCTTAAATACCGTTGCTTATTATCTTTGGGAAGTGGCAATGCGTAGAATTTATATTTGTTTGTCTGAGATAAAAAGATACGTTCTTATCTTTATTAGAATATTATTAGTCAAGAAGTCTGTTGGATATTTGTCTGTTTATTCTATATTACCAGAATCACAGAAATAACATAACAAGACACCAGTGGTACATTCATACCTAATACCTTCACAAACGTATCACATTCCTGAGGTCGAGTTTTTGAACTTTTACAAACTACGCAAGGTTGCACCATTTACCATATGATAAAAAGCGATGCTCATCTTACGAAGGTTCTCGTGTGATATCTATATATCTATCACCTTGAATATCATACTTCCTTAGTTTAGTCATAATGATACATTTTATACATAACAGACTCAAAAACAGTACAGTTTTGTTATTAAAAAGTACCTAGAGGTATCCTTCTGCGGTTATTTATAGTCGTTTAGTTGTTTCATTTGGGATTTTGTTAAATGATTTAAACGTATAATAATTTAATCTATATTTAGCCCATATGATCTTATTGTTATATAGATTTACATATACTTACATGAAGTAACTATTTAGATTTTCGCACCAAGTTAAAACAGAAATGGAAATGTGAATAAATGAATTCTATCTGCATTTTTATTTGATTTTGCTGTTGTTTTTCTAATCTATAGTAATCATGTATCTAGATTCCGAATTAACTTTGAAAAAGGACTGGTTAAAAATAACCTCTCTTTGTGAAAACAACAGATTTTAGAATTGTTCTAAAGTCTACATTATCATTAGAGGACTTTATTTTATACAAAAATTACTTATTGTTAGTAGTATTTATATTTCATTTCAACGATTAAAAACTGTTCTGGGAATAATAGCTTATCTTTCATATTGTGTCTATTGACAGTTATGATATCAAATTAATTTCAAACATGTGTAACTATCACTTACACTATGTTTTTGTTTGTATAAATAGAGCCAGGAGTTTTTGTATGTATGTCTGTAATATGTTTTGTACCAGAATTATCCGATCCAGGATTTTGTATTCTACGTTTTAAAATTAACTGTCCTAGTTCATGAAGTGGCATCAGGTATTCTTCTCATATAGAGGGTTATAAATTCATCGAATGGCAAAGTTATGTTTCTTGACTGTTGAATTTTGTGGCGCTTTTTCTCGCCAGTAGTCACAAGTGAAATTCTAATAATGCGGTTACTTGAATTTCTAACCCCGATTCCATGTCACTGGTAAATAACCTGACCCCTCATTGTCTTTTAAGTGTTAGTTTTTTAATATTTAACCTTATATATTGTTTAGAACCTTAGAACGGAACTTAATAACAAACAAATGCTATCTAGGACTTGAATTAGTCGTTATTAAATGATATGATGAAGGAAGGGAAATATTTCGGCCAGTGAAGTGTGAGAAATTCGTTTTCATAATCTATATGCATGTACACTCATTACAGCTTTACCTAGCACTCATAAATTAATGAACATTATTCTCTCCCTGTTTCTGTTTACTCGGACATTATGTTTTTGCGCTACATCGATGCACATTTTTGTGCATCCCAGTCCTCTTTAGACAAACAAACTCGTTATATAAAACCACTTCCGGGTTTTAACTTCTATTGCCCCTATTCAATGCCATAGAAGCATAGTTGACAGAGGTTTTGTTTATACTAAATGTTATATTTCTTAACAGTCTGTTACTGTTTTAAACGATTTGTAAGGTTAAAGTCCGTCAAATAGTCAAATTTCAAGTACTAACGAATAATTTCTTAATATATGTTTGTTTGCTTCCGTGTGTTTTAAGAAGCAACAGAAAAAGAACTAAAAATAGTTTGAACTTATTTTGTTCTTATTTACTGACTTGCAGCTTTACTGAGAATTTATGTTACAATTAAAGAAAATCATAACGAAATACTATTTGACAACCAGTTGCTTGATTTCATATACTATATATAGATGCTAGATTTTTGTAGACCTGATCATTTATTTCTCGATATGAACTAGCATAAATAGTCAATTAATCCTATAGTCATTTGAGATAGTGGACATTTGAACTGATATGTCATGAAAGCAAATTGTGTAAACACGACTTGTGTCGTGTTCCAGAAAAAAAAGCCTTATTGACTATGCTACGTATCATTGCGTAGAACACGTCAATGGCTTTTGTCAACAAAATTTGTATTCATGAACTCCCACCTGTTACAATACACATTACTTTACATATTATGGCTAGAATATACTAGTTGTGGGTGTCTTTATGTATGGTTCCAGGCACCCAAAGTTGATCCATATTAACTTGTTTTCCAATGCTCTTAAGGATGTGGTGTATTACTGGCTTAGATTTTCAAAATTGCTGATCTGGATACGTCTCACTGTATAAATAACGTACGTCGGAATGTACCTGGATTATCAATTTTTCTTTTCTATAATTATAGCCTCAATATCATTTTCTCATCTTGCCTACCTCTGTAATATACTGCGGTCGTCCATGATTACAAAATGCCTAAGCTGCTGTGGATTTCATTAAAAGATACACCTGTCTAAAAATGTATCTGCGTAATATTTTAATTGAAGTGTTTTGAGCATTTGTATTAAAAAATAAAAATTCAGTTTTTCAAAGTATCTAAAATGATACGTTACGAAAACTGGAATATTTTACCTAAATAATCAGAGAGAGTTAATATTCTTTTAAAGACGTTTCTGCAACGGATTAATAAATATTAAATACGTAAATTATTATAATTTACATAGATAATTTGAACTTTTCTTTCTTATTTTAACAGGAATTTAACAATCGAGAATATGGAGAATAACTCAGCGAGTGAAAAAGGATCGACACTTCGAAAGACGCAATACTTCTGTCTTTTGTGCACTTATGAAACGGACAGAAAAAATAATATGAAACGTCACTTTTCATCAATGCACAAGCACAGTTCGAAGATTCTAGAATGTTGTGGAGAACATTTTTTAAATAAAGCTACTTTGCGTTCCCACACGAAAACCTTACATAAAGAAGGTTATAGTTGTAACCTGTGTATACGACGCTTTTGCCGAAGAGCTCTAGTGAGACGTCATATGAGTGCCCACAACGGGTTAAAGGAATTTTTGTGTGAACTTTGTACTTACGCTACTAGTCACAAAAGCAACTTAGAGAAACACCAATTTCGTATCCACGGAATTCCAGAGAAGAAACATCGAAAAAGGAATTCGGTGTCCAAACAATCGGGAAAGTCTTCACCATCGTCTCTGGGATTGACTTCCAGAGAAGAGAAAGATAAATCGTTGAAAATATCCAATAATCAATACATTGTATATACACCCGAATTACCAGAGTCTATTCTTGAAGAACCATCAATTACAATGGCAGAAGATATTAACAGAAGGGAAACTAAAGGAACAGACGGAATTTCTCTAACAAAGGAAAACATTCGATTGTGCTGCTTTCCTTACAAATGTTTTGAATGCAACATCGTTTTTAAAAAACAGTCAGACTACATATTTCACTGTGACCAGATGCACCCACCACGAGACCCCCTCGAGATTACACTCATTCATGCAGCTTTAAGACATCGTCACCAGGCTCAAGATAAACCTCTGAACTTGGTTATTCATCCTCCACGGGATCCATTTTAATTTCCAATTGTTTTTAGAAGTATTTATTGTTATGAATTGATCTCTTACTGTATTTGTATTTGCTGAATTGCTTAGACGCTGGATATGTGTGAGTTAAATTATGCATTACAAAAGTAAATTTCTTATTAGCATCACATTATCTATATTGAAACTGTTTAGCTATATTTTGATAACTATTTAATAATTTAGTTTTTATCAATAGCTTTTGATTTATGGACTTAAACGCTTTAACCCGGGTTTCGATTGGTCGCGGTGGAGAAACAGATAGTTCGGAAAAATAAACAGACAGGCCTACAGATATAAAAGCTCATTATCTAAACTTAAAAGTATCAATTGCCATATCATAGCATAGTAATTCGAATTTAAGATGTGTTTATATATATATGCTTGTGGATATCACTTGAGGATTGTGTAAATGAAACTAAATTAACCAGAAATGGTACGATCAAAAGAGATCGCTAATTGGTACTGCGATTTTGATCATGAATTCATTATATTTGTATCATATTACACCAATATTTAGTCAAAACGAGAAAAGCAATTTTCCCTTTGTCTTAATGATAAAATATGGTTTCTTATAGGATAGTGGCATGCATCTTGGAAAACAACACATTGTTGTAGTTTAAT